TAACTGTGGTTCTACCTCAGCTTACCAATCGGTTTTTCAGTTTTTCATGTCAAGGCCAGTTTCAGTTTATCCTAACCTTTTGTACCACCTGTTTTTATCTGTTTTTAGTGCATTGCTTTTTTTGCTTTACGGTCGTAGAATTTCGCCAAGAACTATACAAAAATTTACGTCAACATAGCCGTGAAAAATTCATGCACGCGACCCGGTTGCCGTTTTGCTGTTACATCTGGAATGCAGTGTGACAAATGCAAAGGTTCGTTACACGAAGCTTGCACAAACCTTACAGTAACTGAATACAACAGACTCAGTAACGCCGATCATATGTGAGTATTGGTCACGAGCAACACGAATGCTGAGGTTTTGCTGAGCGATGTTATCATTCTCTTGACAGGTCTGTGGAACAAGTTGTCAGCAAACCTGAAAATAGGATGTCCAAAATAAAGTAAACAAACAAAGACGCTCAGTGAAAGCAAGAAGAGGAAAATCGACAACTCTGCTATCGATGGAGCATGCTGATGGACATGCTGAAGCTCAGCACCATCATAACATCGACGGTACTAGATTCCCTCAACAAGCTTAGGTCCCGAAGCACAGGAATTTTGAATGCAATGGTGGTTCCTAAAAACTCTGTAGGCGATTGGACCCCGTCAACAAAGTCAAAAAGAACCGGGTGTCACTGCCTAAAAAGCTGAATATCCCAGGTATTGTAGTGAGATCAACTAGTTATTTGGCCGTACAATTTAACCGCAAGAGTGTCCAATCGCTCAGCAAAAAGTATAAAAATATGAAACGCGCTTCGACCTCCAAACAACAAGGTCCTCCATCTGAGCGTATCTCAAAACCTGGGAATATAATCTCTGTTCGCGAGGATTCACTCATAATCATGAAACTGAAAGACAGTCCTAAGTTTCCCCCTAGCCTGTAGGCCGAAAACGACAGGATGCTCTGGGGAGAACTGAAGAAGAAGCTTGAACTTCCCAAAATAGGGTCTTTGACGGTCGCACGACTCACTCGGGAAAAGAACTGCAAGCATCAAAGACTACTAAGTATAACTCTCACCAACCCTAACGATGTACAGTGTGTCTTACTGTCCAGCAGTTTACTAAATTCAGACCGGACTGTAAGAATACTGCCCGATATACCATACCTTCGGCGCAATCTCACCCGGAACACCCCTCAGGAAGTTCGCTAGGATTCCTTTCGTGGAAGAAATATCATTGTGCAAGATGTGCCAGAGAACACGGACCCTGATCACACAAACTCCGATATTCGGAAGTGAAAATTCATCAAGCAGCTTTTGAATCTCAAAGACAAACTGACTCAACAGGCGGTGAAACTAGACAAGAAAGACGAGAATTCTGGACCCCGGCTGATGATGAAAACCTTCCCATCCTGCCATATGGTGGCCGCAACTCTGGAAGCATTTCGTGCCCATAAACGCCGGTTGCCAACTGGAATCCATATGCATCCGGGTAGACTATATGATGACGGGATCAAGCAGAAAGGCAAGTTGAAGCTAACCATTCCACTTGTGGAGTGTCTGGACGACAAAAGACATGGAAAGAACGGGGGCTAACAGCTCAGAAAGCCCTGTGTAGGTAGGCTCCCTATCCATTGACATAAGGCTCATGAAGACAAACAAGACAGGAGGGTTCACGCGTTTCTAATTTAAAGCAAAAACTGCCTATACATGAACGCTGAGAGTCTACCAAATAAAATGGATGAGCTACGTGAACTTAGCAATGTTAATAAGGCTCAACTGATAGGAATATCTGAAACTTGGATATCTTCTCAGTTTACGGACCAGGAGCTAGTAATACCTGGGATGTCTTTGTTTCGCAACGACAGAAAAACAGGAATCGCGGGTGGAGTAGCAATATACATACGATCATGCGTGGAGGTACATCGAGTTCACAACCATGAGTTTGACAATCTTGTTGAATCTGTATGGTGCTCAGTAAGATTGCCTACCACTTCGAGGTGCCTAGTTGGGGTCATCTATAGGAAGCCCAGTGCTGACATCGAGTATGACAGTCGTATGTTGGAAGGACTATCCCGCTCTACGCGTCTTGGATTCACTCATATTCTGAGTCTAGGGGACTTCAATCTTCCTAAAGTCAGTTTTGCGGAACATACGTATATTGGGGGTGAAAACTCTAATAAACCTCGGTTCTTCAACCTCATTGAGGACCTGGGATTATTCGAAAATGTAAAGTCGGCAACTCTTTGGTGAAACAGTCAGACGCCGTCGCGCTTAGACTGGGTATTTACAAACGAAGCATTCCTAATTGACAACCTATCAATTCTGGCTCCCTTGAGGAAGAGCGATCATACCGTCATAGCCTTTAGTTTTATCAGCAAAACTGAGCTAAGATATCCCACCAACAACAGGGGCAGGAAGTTCAAACAGTTGGATGTGTCTGCTCTACAGGACAATCTACAGAAGGTGGACTGGGAAGTTCACCCTCAACTTTGTGTGGATGCCTATTGGGATATCTTACTGCACACGATCTTTTATGCTACAAAGCAGTCTGTTCCGCAAGTGGTCCCTAAAATCTACAAGCAACTTACAGTCATCAAGAACCTCACTCCATTTGGTAAGCCGCAAAAATACTGTTGGGCAGAAGGCAAACGAAGTGGTAACAACGGCACATACAGGCTATACAAACATACAAGGAACATATGCGCGAAGGCTATAGTAGAAGACAGCCTTCAGTAACAGATAAAGTTTATGGATAAATTTGTCTCCAATTCGAAAAGCTTATTCCGTTATGCAGCCTCTCTTCGTCAAGCCAAAACTGAAGTTTCCCAACTGCTAGGTCCTAATGGCCCGACCAATAACAGAGGCGACGCCCCTAACCCTTTGGTTGAACAATACTCTCGGACATTTCAACCGACCCACATCAACTATACCGATGACAGCTTCATTTGCAACTGCACATGACTTTCCGAAGTGAACCTGAGCGCTGACTTCGTGTTCCGGAAATTGCAGTACTCAAGAAAAAACACTTCCCGACCCATATATGGTTCATTCTGCTATACTGAGGGAAGCAGCTTCAATCCTGGCAACACTGCTTAGCGTGATGTTCTCACACTCGCTAAGCCGAGGAAAACTACCGGAAAATTGGTTGCTGGCTCACATCACACCAATTTTCAAAGTAAGTCGACGCAGCGAACCTTCAAGTTACCGACCGGTGGCTTTTCTATCTATACCTATAAAAATTATGGAGTCCCTGATATGCGATGGTACACATAACTAATTACTGTCCTTAAATTTCTTCTCACCCCAACAACATGGTTTTAGGAAGGGTTACTCCTGTATAACCAACCTGCTGACTGTAGTGGACAGATGGACGACAATCCTTAACCACAAGGGGAAGGCTGATGTCATTTACCTTGACTTCTCAAAAGCTTTTCATAGGATCAACCATATGTGTCTTATCAATAAGCTCAAACGATTAGGCATCAAATAACCTCTAATTGACTGGCTCATTTCATATCTGAAAAATCGACATGTTAAGATCAGGGTTAACTTCACTTTATCTCAGGCTATAGAATGTCCTAGTGGGCTCCCCCAGGGCTCAGTACTGGGACCTCTTCTCTTCTTGATTTATATAAATGATCTCCCACAACAGGTGCCTTCAGACTTACTACATTTTGCTGATGACGTGAAACTTTGGAGAAAGATACACAACCAAGAGAATACACAGGCACTTCAGGAGGATTTCACTCGAGTTCAAAGTTGGGCACATGGCAACCGACTTACCTTCAACACTTCAAGGTGTAAAGTAGTCCATCTGCGACATGTTGCAGATTACAGTTACAACCTAAGAAACTCCTCTCTAGTAGTATCCCGAGTCGAAAAAGATTCAGGAGTGTTGGTACCCTACGATTTGAAGTCCTACGCTAACTGTGACAGAAATGCCTTTCGAGCAAACCTTGCACTAGTATCATTGAAGCGCATTTTTGGTCAGTTTGACGGTAGAACTTTCCACATAATCTTCAGTTTTATTCGTCCCCATTTAGAGTACGGAAACATTGTATTCCCCCCCCCCAAAAAAAGGATAAGGACACTCTAGGGCGTATCCAACGGCGAGCCACGAAATCAGTTTGGGGACTCGAATTCAAGCCTTATGGAGAGCGCCTCCAATCACTTAACATTTACCCACTAGAGTATAGGCGTCCTAGAGGCGACCCTCTGATGACTTACAGTATCCTTAACACTTCTGGACATCCCCTTGTAGCGTGGCGTCGAGTTGAAATTAACTATGAACACCGCTACCAAAAAACACGTGCCAAATAAATCAGAAGGCGAGGGGTGAACGTAACCAAATAAATCCATAAAATCCCCGAGAAGCCAAATATCAGAAGGCAGTTAATGGACCAAGTCGAGATATATTTGCTGGCGATCTCGTGGTATCGAAAGGATACCGAGATCGTGCCAGGATACAAGCTTGGTTACAGAATGTAACCGAATTCGCGCGAAGTCACAATCAAAGTGTAAGAATAGGAATGGAAGCACAATGTAGCTGTCATTAGCACAGTCAAACAAACTCTGGTACAGTTGGTTATAATAATAATTGTGTTCATTAAACCAGTCGTGTTCTTGTGATAAATGTGAGTCACTACACCCTTAAACACATACTTAAGCTTAGTCCTAATACAAACTTAAGAAGTAACACCCAGAAATTGGAGATACAACATAGCAGAACGTACTGTAGACACAACTTCTACTCCTTAAGAGTTGTCAAATGCTGGAATTCGCTGACGACTGGACTTGTCCAAGAGACTTCCCAGGAGTCCTTTAAGAGGAAACTTGACCTATTCTTAAGGACTAAAGATAACATCTTATTATGATTTACCAGTTTTTCCCTCCATTGTCGTTGATATACCTAGGTTTCTGCCTGGAGGTATTAGTGATCCACTGCTATTAGACACGGAAGCCCGTTAAGCGAAAGCTTCTTCTATTCCTTCCACAAACATTTGAACCATTTGAATGTGAGTGCGGTACATTTTCCGTTAACGCTACTGTTCCCCCAGGTCATTGCTCGATATTGTTTGGTGTAAGCCTTCATGTAGAAGCATTAAGTTTTTTTTCTTTCTCTCGCTTCTGAACTTACATGAAATCGCTTCAAACTTTTCGACACCCACCAAAACATATTTCTTGAGAGTTTTTATAATCTAAATACTTTAAAAGTCACAAGGAGTCAAGTAAGCAAACACTAAGCTCAAGTATATTTCAGTTGATCTTTTGCTTAGCGTAGTTGTGTGGAATACCTCTCATATTTTCCACTTATTTTTTCTAAAAAAGCATAGTTTACCAATCACATTCCTTATGTTTCAAAACAAAATAGACCAATCTGACACAACTAGATTTATTGTTACCAGCTAGTTTTGATGAATGTCACATTTCTTCAAGTCACTGAAACAGGAGCTATGAATTAAGAAGAGGATATATGGTAGTTGTATATCCTTTAAAACTATACATCCACTTAATAAAGTGACGTGACTTAGCCTGATGCTTTTGTCTTTCATGTTTGTAAATAACTTTAACTGTTCTGACCTTCATTTGCATAACTTTACTTTACTGACACTTTGTCAGTCTGTTTTGTAATAAATTGAAAGTTCAGCAAATTTTGAGATATTAACTTGTTGAATTACTTAAGATGATCTCTCAGTTTCCTTTCCAATTTAAAGCCGGTTGGAGTTTACTAGTTTAAGTTAAATTTATGAAACATGATCCAACAAAGCGTTCGTAATACTGCTCAATACTCTAAGTGTTTTTATTTCCTTAGTCAGAAGAAAAAATTCTGATTTTTCCGCTTATCTTTCATAAATATATACTTAACGTCTCTTAGTATTGTATTTACTGTCCCTTTCATCCAAAACGTTATTTTCCGCTGCAATTTGTCTCCTTATTGGTATTTCTGTCACTAGCTCCTTGATTGTTTAACGTTTTCTTAGAACTTAACAACAATTTGTGATCCCAACAGTCTGTTCACAAATATCAATAACTGTCTAAGAGCAGTTTTAACCAAATGTTTTATCTCCAGGTTGTCCATCGACTAAAAAATGACCACAGCCGGGAGACCAACATGGGATACTGCTAAAGGTAGTAGAGGAAAGTGGGAAGGTGATTTAAGTGCTTTGTCTAAGCAGTACTCTGTTCGTGACTTACCGGCACATACGAAATTGAAATTGCGTCAAGAAGGACAAGGAAGACCTGAAGATATTCAAGGAAAAGATTTTAAACGTGCTTTGGAAGAAAAAGAGAAACGATTAGCTCAAGAAAAGTCGGGGAGGCGTAAGTATAGTTAATTCACTTATTCTTAATACAAGTCAGTCATGAGCACCTTTAAAATCTCAACCTATAAAGAGATAAAAATGCATAGGCTTTAGAAATTTCGTCACACTTCCATCTTTAAATGGCAGTTAACTTATAGTATAGATACATTTAGTTTGATTAACATAGTCTCAAATAATTCCTCTTATTCTTTAGACCCTATTGTTTGGTAAAAACTGTCTCGTAGAATAATTCTCCAACTTAAATTTTCGACTCAACAAATTTTTTAGGGGACTCATACAGCATATACAGTCCTTACACCTGTGATTTAAAGGTATATTTCAAGATATTCTACATTTTCATGTTTCGGGTTTTTGTGACAAAAAGTATTCATTGTGATCGATTTTAAGCCATGTCACCCAGAGTCTCCAACGATTGATCACGATAGTCGCGCAGACCCCAATCAAGTAGTTTGGATCTACCAACATAGCTCAGACCAGAAGTTAGTGACTTCAAGGACTGATGCCACGTTTTGTTTTGGCCGCTCCTAACTTTCTTCCAACCGTCTCCACCACTAGTCAGCATTGTGCATCGTGGTAATCAGTCGATGAAGCTTCACAACTTCATCAACTGGTTTACCACCACTCTCTAATACCTTGTATCTGACCTCTTTATTACCTACCCGATTATCCCAGTAGATGCAAGCAATATTTCTAGGACATCTGTGATCAAATACTAGCAGTGGTCACGTCTAACAGCTGTAAAATAAAACAGAATGAACTGGTGCACAGTATACTCGTCCTTTAATTCATAGACGTAAATCTCGCCTTCGTCTTACGTGACGCAATTTGACAAAATCTAGGCCTCATGGTAGCCAATGATCAACAATAGGTTCATACGCGATTCGTTCCCTCAGGATCCTGAAGCCCATGTGTACCACTGGTTTAGAACCAGGGTTTTCAATCCCCCTAGGTGGGTCCTCCATACCCACCAATCCTGTTAAAATGCCGGACATTCGCTTTTCGTCCTTTCAATTTCGCAACCAACACGCCTGCCGCTAGAAGTCAATGAGTAGAACTTCCTTGGTTGTTGTTGTATACGCGTGGCCATATGAGAGTATTTCGAGAGCAGACTCTCTCAACCCTCCCCCGTACCAGTGCATTCGAGAGTGGCTATGTTTGAGATCAAGTGTATTGTCTGATCATTGTCGTCTTGTTTATTATTTGTGGGGTTAGCGAAATACTTTATTTAAATGTTATCCTCCAGTTTTCTCATATCAACTCGTCCTTGTCATATTTATTGCGATGCTGACGAAAGAAGAATAGGGTTGAAAAAAGCTAAAGGAGACAGGTCACTCATTGTTTGAGGGTATTATAAATGAGTCCACGAACGATCAACCAGTAACAAGATTGCTAGCCAGATAGTAAGGTCTTTTATATAATAAAATAACGCGTTTTTGTACAAAATAAACATTATAAAACGTATTAGGTATTTCCAAGAAATTAAATCGTATTTCACTTATTCCCTAATCAACTAAAACCTGACTGTTGCGCCTTATTTTTCTTGGAGATTGTTTCAGAATGGTTCACTTAATGTTAGTCAGAATCATATACACCTTGCTCAGTGAGTTAGCAAAATTACGTAGATCAGAAGTTGGAAACCTTAAGTAACAGCTCAAAGTTAGTCGCAATATCTCGGATCTATCCACTTTTCCTTGATTGTTAACGTACTACCTTTTGTTTCCGTTTAACTCATCCCTGCTGTCTACTGGAAAAACTTTCAATGTTCCTTGTTTTTATTCCTCTGTGCTAATGTGAAAACGGCACATTGTGTTGATTCATTTTTGTAAGGTATTGGGTAATTTTGTGATTATAACATTGGTTCTTAACTCTGATTCAATTCTCCACAGTACCAGTTCCAGCCTAAATACCTTTAAGTAACACTAAACAATGCTGTTTCTTAGCTTGTAAACATGAATCTTGTGGGCGTTGTAGATATACCTTACTATTATGTGTTAGAATGCTTAAGATGAAGGTTGTCAACAGCCACCAAATACTTCTAAACTACTTTGTTTTTTAATACACTTCATTAATAAATTCACAGAATTACTCCTTCGTGAAGACGACGACTTTGAGGAACTTCGTGAAATTCATATTATATTTTAGATCAGAATTTTGTATCTTTTACCTTTTGATATTCTTCCTCTTTCAAAAGTCAAGACATTACGAGTGTAGGAGTTTTACATTTGTATTACTTTTTCCCACCGCCCTCATTCAGCCTCAATAAATTCCACTAGTCAACAACCAGCAATTACCAGTGCCAAACGACCAAGTTCTGCTGCTGTCGCGCCAACTATTGATAGTAGTACTATAGGTAGTATAAAACGTACACGACCTGAAACAACCACTGCTGTGTCAACAACTAATTTAGACGCTGATGATCCGTGGGATGAGGATTATGATGAAGATCAAGAAGATGTAATTATCACTAAAAAGTCGAATCATAATAAAAGTAAGAATTCAACTGGAGATAAATTTGATGATGATAATCAAAACGATGATGATGACGATGAAGATGCTGACAATGATGACGTCGACGACGATGAAGAAGATGAAGAAATGCTCCTAGCCGAATTGGCTAAAATTAAACGTGAACGAGCTGAAGAAGCAGCCCGTTTGGCTGCTGAAAGGAAAGCAGCTGAAGAAACTATTCGTATGGAAAATATCTTGAAAGGAAATCCTCTTTTAAATTCATCTAATTCTTCAGGTTTGTTTTACAGTGTGTTTACAGTGAATCTATACTTATGAAATTATATATATATATATAATATATCTGATATCCCAGTGAGTAGAAAATTTCTGGCATATCGCGACTTAATAATGGCTTAATGATTTTTACATATAGTGAACTATTTAACTTTTATACAACCGTCCATGCAAATTGTATGAAATGATTTATTAATTTAATTCAATACGATTGTGTCGATCATCTGTCTTCAAACCAATTCACGTTCATTCTAGTAAGTTATAAATTCCAGGATTGAAATGTTCACACAAAGATTCATTCACCACTGATTGGACTTAAATCATCGTACTTACCGGGCAAATTGATGTGGTTTATACCAGGTGGGGATAATGAAGTAATAATACTGGGATATATCTAGTGCCTTTATAAGGGAAATTTCCTGCTTCCCAAGTTTCGTTAACTCTTCAAATAGTTTATTAAATAACCAGCTCTTCGAAAAGCTTTAAAACCATAGATTCGTTCCGAAGAGGGTGATCATACGTATGTATACAGATCGTAGGTCTTTGAGTAGGTCAGATATCTAGTATTGTCATATTCTTACTAGTTGGTCAAACAAATCCTGATTGTAGTTTGAAGAAGACTCTCGATATTTTATTAAATAAAATTAGTCTTACTAATCGATGAATGTTATTATTTAATATGTTCATAAACGGTATAGTGCATGAAATACTAGTTTATACAAACTAACAGAAAAATTTAAAAGATTGGTATGCAATAATAAAAATCAGTGGCATTAGAGTACACTAATTTTTGGAATGATTTGTAACTCAATCGGATGACTTCAATGGTGTTGTATTCTGTAATCTAGAGGTTTCTACTTGTATTAGACGCTGGTGATTCTATTAAGAACAACAATCAAAGCTTCACAATTAAATCATCCAGCTCGGAGGACTCATTGTCACCCAAAATAGCACTTTCCTGTTGGTTTATATTATATGTTGAAGTTACTTACGCCTGTTACCCCTTGTGGAGGAGCATAGGTCGCCCACCAACATTCTCCATCCAACTTTGTCCTGGGAAATCGTTTCCAGTGTCTATTCATTATTTTGATATCTGGTTCCGACGCAATGTGGTCCTCGGTTTTCCTCTTTTCCGCTTCCCTTCAGAATTCCAAGTCAGCACTTGCCTCGTGATGCAGTTTGATGGTTTACGTAACGTATGTCCTATCCACCTCCATCGTCCCTTCCTAATTTCCTCTTCAACTGGAAGCTGGTTTGTTCTCTTCCACAGTAGGCTGCTGCTGATGGTATCCGGTCAACGGACATTGAGTATCTTGTGTAGACAACTGTTTATAAATACTTGTACTATTTTGATGATAGTTGTAGTACTTCAAGTTTCAGCTTTGTACACTAAAACAGTCTTGACGTTTGTATTGAAGATTTTCACTTTGATATTGGTTGACAGTTGTTTTAAGTTCCATATGTTCTTCAACTGTAGGGATGTGGCCCTTACATTGCCAATCCTCGTCTTTACGTCTGCATCGAGTCCTCCTTGTTCATCGGTGATGCTGCCCTATTGAAGTTAGATATACCACTATTACTTGAGTTGCTTAAATAATTTCAAATCTATGGGAGATAAATTGTCACTGTTTGGGTATCCATTATTCCTAACATCACATGAAAATAATTATTGCCGTAAACTAGCAGCTCATTGTCTCAGCAATAGTTATTCGTAAATAAATTTTTAAACTTGATTTATTTTAGTTGTGTCAAGAGTAGTTTTTACCATTCATAGAGAACATTGTTTGTGACCTAATAACAGACATATATATATATATATATATATATATATATATATATATATATATGACGTTAAAAATCTACATTTTTGTAAATACTCAAAAATCCTACGTACAGTCATTTCTGACACAAAATTTATTGCTACGCACACGATATAAGATACAGCAAATAAATATCTGGTTCATACATCCATATTCGATACCTTACATTTTCATATTGGTTATTACGATGAAATCGTTTGTAATTATCATTATAAAGAAATCAAAGTTTCCTTTAAGACTAGTCACCCAAAACTTTAAATTCGATTTGTGTTGTTTTTTAATGTCAGCTGGTAAAAAATCAAAATTTTAAAAATTGACGTTTATATTTTACCGCTTAGTTTTATATTCATTATACTTCTATTATTACATTGTTTCATTGTGTGTAAAATATGTTCCTTTTTTGTACTGAAGAATTTAAGGTCAAAAGAAGATGGGATGATGATGTTGTATTTAAAAATTGTGCTCGAGGTGAAGTCGATCATGTAAAACGTGGATTCGTAAATGATACACTACGATCTGAATTTCATAAAAAATTTATGAAAAAATATATCCAATAATGCACATGTACATTGTCTTCCCTCAATAATACTTTATTTCCTGTAAATAAATAATTGCTTTAAACAATCTTATGTTAAATTATTTGTATCCAAAAGTGTCTCGATATGTAGTGTGTTAAAACTTTATAATAAAAATTGCTTCCAAAAACATGGATAAATTTCAATCTAGAAACATCACATTAATATACTTTATACTTACTAGTCGTAAATAGTTCAGTTTATTAGATTTTTGGATCGGAATTTATCACGAAGCAAACAAAATCAAGCAGCAGAACAGCGTCATCTGGTGTAATTTATGAATTTAAAACATCAAACTTAACGAATTTTGTGCTTGAATCTCTAGGTCTCATAATAAATAAAAGCTCTGTTTATATGCTATGATTAAATGTTGATTCCTGTGGTAACTTTAGGAACAGCTCGTGTTAGGTTACCAAAAGCTCAATGTATATATTACAGTCTATTCTTTCTATGGAAGCAGTTAGGTTTACAAACGCATTATAGTATTCCTCACGTTACCGTTAGCCAGTTGATAAAAGAAGAAAATGGGATGAGTTCCATTCAATGGGAAAACCAAGTGATGCTATGTTTCTAACCAAAGCGTTAAAAATAAAGACAATTCATTTCCAGGATCCAAGTATCTATTCACTGCGCTACCGATGTAATATGTTATACATTCCTAACCATCACGATAAACACTTTCTAATATCAATATGAGGTTGTAGATATTGTTAGGTTTTTGACTGAGATCATGAATTGATTGATGTTAGGCCATCATTGAGAACGTGGAAGCACCGGACGGTCGTTCCGTCTCATTGTGGCACTCCTCACCAGTGCAAACCCACGGTATTCGAACCCAGGATCTTCGGTTCCACGCGCGAACGCTTAACCTCTAAACATTAACATCACCGGACGCCGGCTCAGTGGTCTAGATGATGAAACCGAAGATCCTGGGTTTGAATACCGTGGGTGTGCACTGCTGAAGAGTGCCACAACGAGACGAAACGGCCGTCTGGTGCTTCCAGGTTTCAATGATGGCCTAACATTAATTGATTCATGGTCTCAATCAAAAACTTTTTAATATTCGGTATAAGAAGTAGTCCCGTTTTCTGAAGTTTGGATATTTTGATGACTAATGGTTACGAACCGCAAGTAACTTAATTCAGTAACAATTATAGTGGATCCAAGTCAATCACTGTAAAAGCAAATAAGTCGGAAATTTTAAGGATTTGTAATCATCTTACCATCGATCTAAATAATTAGTTGTTCCCAATGTTTTGTCATTTAATGAGGTGAATATTAGTGTCTTGAGGAAGTTTTCTAAAAAAATTTGTTTGAACGGGATCAGAGTAGCATTCAGTTAGTTGCGAAAATAAGACACGGTTTGGTACTTTCCCGCTGAGCATACTGAAGATAATCAGTTGTATAGCCTATGCAATTTAAAGTCACTCAAATTTTGTCATTGGTAGCTTTATTTTTCTCATAATGAACGCTATCTTTTGGTCAGTGTAACTTGCACGTTTATTGTTTGTATGTCAGTTAACACTTCCTTGTTTAAAATAAGTATGCTAACGATTTAGTAGGATACATCAATTATATTCTTCATTGAACAACAGGTACATTAAAAGACTTATCAGGTTATCCACACATTGACTACTTACATCAGTGAGTATAGTTAGTTAACAAAGTGAGGCTAAGAATTTGAACAGTAATGAGAAATCCAACAGGCACTACTGTACTAAACCTCCACGAGTTTCAACGTAAATAATTCAAAAGTTACTAGCTGGATACAAAATCATAATTTATCTTAGACAAACGTGCACCTACAAACCTTTAGTTACTTGAACTTAATGATTTATAACTATAACAGGATGCGACTTCATACAGTCTAAACCACTATTTCTAATCTATCATGAGTCAACAGAAGTAAGAATTTACGTTTTTCGAGTGTATGCCTTAACGGTTTTTTGTCTCGGTATACTACTTATTAGTGTTCAGTAATCTAAATTATATTCTATTGCTTTCACACCTGTACAACAACAAGACAAATATCCTAACCATTTGTATTTTTCTTCGTTCTACTAGTAGTATAAGTGTTTAGTCCTCGTTTGCTCCTGTTCCTATGTATTACCCTTTGGGACTCGTCTTCATTTTGAGTGATTTATTTTTGAAATCCAGTAGCTTGTTTCGTCTCGTCATTTTTCTTGTTATTCGTAGTTGACTCATCCATGTGGTATTTTCTAGTTTATGGCAGTACGTCCTTTAACTGTGTTTTTAATTATCCAATTGAGTCCTCAGAAGCGTCGAATTCAAAGTTTTATGCATAATTAGAGTCTATTATGTTTTTCATGACATTTTGTTCTACTAAATAAGTTTAGTTATCGGGTTGTGGGGTTTTTAGGCGTAACATCACCGTTAAGTTGGAATTTCCACAAACATTATTTTTAAATACCGACGATGCTTATATTCGACCTCCTAATGAATACTTGCTAGAGTCGAACATCTTTATCTACATCATTCTGTTATAAAATGATTGATTTAGAAATTACAATGTATAACTTTAAGTGCAGACAAAAGTTTATCGTTCGAATTTTCAGTAGAAACACTAAATTAAATGAATCCACGCTAAATAGTATTCCATTTGTGATAATGGAAGATAATCACTGAAACTATCTTGTTTCTTATTCTTCACGAATTAAATGTATTTATTTCATGATAAAATGTGTACTTTAATTAGAGACATCGACACTACTCAAATATCTATTATATTTCAAGGTTTCATGAAACATATATCCAATCGAATACTAAATAGATTTATATATTCTATGATTTACTCAGTAAAATTTAATGTAAATCATTGTTCTGTAAAGTGAACGCTAATTAATCTCGGCGAGACTATAATTCATAGACGAACCAATCAGATATAAGAAAACAGGTCTTGGATTTTGGCGCGAACTTCATTCATCCATCTGGCTAGATAGCGTATTGGCATTTTAGCTGATGTCAGTTCGTGATGAAAACCTTAAATCTAATTCCTAACTGCTATATCCTAGTGAAGATTAAAGTACGAGTAACGTCTGAGACCTATCAATAGACCAATATTATCTATATGTTCTTATTGTATAGCAATTCAGTAACTAGATTATGTATATTAATATTCCTCTTATTATAAGTTTCGTTTTGACCTATAATTTATTATTATACTATGTACTGTCCCTAAATTATGCTCCCACGTTCACAGCCACTTTTTGGCTTTATTGTGTACAGATGTTATTTCCTATTTTATGGTGCGTTGCGGTCTGTTTGGTTGATATATAGACCCAGTATGTCTGGAATAAATGATTCGATTCGCATAGTGGAAACTGGTATTAGTGTTCTGGACTCAACTGGACGGGATAGGCAGACATAGGACCAATAAGGATGCTAGGCTGCTCATACCGGTTGAACGTCATTGGTTTGGCACAGTGCTAAGATTGTATAAGTCGCATTTTTATTGGTGGATAAATCACGTGATAAAAAGCCGGACATCATGACATAACACTAACCTTAACCGTCAACTGTAAATTATAATTCTAATTCCTCACACTGCTTTACAACCATCATTTAGTCCTAGATATTAGGTGGACATTTTCAGGGTCATTTTAGCGTCGCTTAAAGGTCGTCCATAAATGAGAGTCTCACCATTAATCTCTTATCATTAAGAGGGAAACATTCATAAACTAATATTATCGTTTGAAAATAACATTTAGTTTAAGTAACAGATATTTTTTATAATAATAATAATTTAAAACAAATTATTATTATTTCAATATACAATGTTTATTTATATTTCAGTATATTTAATATTTACAAAAATATGTAACTATTTTTATTGATACAACGCACTAATTTTAAACTGAAATTAATGAATAAAAGAGTTGAAGAAATATTACCCATTTCAATCGACTACTTACATTATATGGATAATTAAAGATTATTGTTAATTCGACACATTCAGTTTAATCATCTTGTTTGTTTTTTAGACAAAAAAGGTTTTATTGAATGTAAATTAATGAAAATTTATTCACAATGGCGCAATTTTTAAATTAATAACAAGATATCAAAGTAACATTTCTATATTAAAATTAAGACCATTTAAAATTAGACTATTTCATTTGAAATGGTATTTGATTTCCATTGAATCCAATTAGAATTGCAGCTAAGTCTTTAGAACTTAATAATGTAGAATAATCAATTCTAGAATTTAATTTTATAGTTGTATCTGTAGTGGACAATGTATTTGTGAATGTTTCCTTTGTATCTATTCCAGTGGTCAAATTTAACAATGATTTGGTTTTCAGATGAATTTCTTGAGAAACATTTGAAGTAGTATCTGTTGTCAGTGCAACAGGAGATAAGTTGTTAGCTGAAAATAATACAGTCGAATTGTTATCTGTATTGTTGTTAGGGATTAAATGTTGCAAAGCTGATGTATAAGCGTTGAATGTGTTCAATATTTTTTGAGTATCAGGCAATAGATTAAGCTGCTGTTGATTTATTTCCATACTACTATGACTGTTATTATCATTATTATTGTCGATATTCATATTATTACGGCTATGTGATCGTTCGTATTTACGATATTTAGCTCGACGATTTTGAAACCAAACCTAAGAGAATTAGCAAAAAGAAATCATTGAATTATGCTCACTGGAAATTGTATAGAGCATTTTACAATTTTGTTCATCTCTTAATGCAGAGATTATTAATGAAACAACCATTTAAAAAACCGCTAAAACATGACATCATTCCACCATAATACTAATCATTAGTCATGAACGGTGTGATAGTTCCATAGAAATCCTTTACGCATTACATCACGGTTGAATTAATAAAATTCCCTTGATCTTTTGAAAGCATTCGATTAGAGGGTCACTAGAAAGCACAATGAACTATTTCCATAGGTAATTACAGAACCATATCGTTAACTTATTGATATTGGAATAAATCATTCATTAAATGTTGATCTAATAATTCAAGTGTAACTATAATCAGCACCTAAATGTGACAATTTCAGTCCTATAAGTGAAA